GAAGCATAATGTTATCTTCATCTCTTATGGTGACTCTTCTTCCCAAGGAAGCTACCTTGTTATTATAGTAACTGCTTTTGTGGCGCTTTCCAGATTGCAAAGTACATGTGCATACATTACCTTGTTTAGCACTCATTGCGATCATGGGGCTCGGTAGCACAGAGGAAGACATTTCATACACAACTTCTATAATCAAGGGAATCTGCCAGTCTCTGTTATTTCAGCAGAGTCAATCTAAACAAATTTTAGATGGCTTGGGGGAAAGAAACTCGGAATTTACCACCTGCTATAACCCTCCAACCAGCATGAAGAAAATGACACTGTTCTGTCCTGGAAAGCAAGGGTTCATACCCAAGAATTATTGTAGGGATTTGGAATCCCAAATTAAGTATTCTCCCATATTTGACCACATATTTAAACTCTGAGGTGCTCAGATTGGAACTCTCTTCCAAACTGGTCAATGTATCAACTGACTCGGGGGCCAATAGCCTTTTGTTCTGATCTAACCACCTCTGCTAGGTGGGCTCTGAATAAGTTTCTAAAGGGCACACCCCATAGGAGACTTTTGATAGGTGAGATAGGGGATAGCTTGGTGGGCCTGGAAGATAATGGGTAACTAATGCTCCAAAAGCAAACCTGTGACTGATGGGAGATAGAAGGTGGTAGATAAGTTATTCTCCCCCCCCCCCTTTTTTTTTGTTGTTGTTTTTTGAGACGGAGTCTAGCTCTGTCACCCAGGCTAGAGTGCAGTGGTGCCATCTTGGTTCACTGAAAGCTCCGCCTCCTGGGTTCAAGTGATTCTCCTGTTTCTGCCTCCCAAGTAGCTGGGATTACAGGTGTGTGCCACCATGCCTGGCTAAAATGGTTTTGTATTTAGCAGAGACAAGGTTTCACCATGTTGTCCAGGCTGGTTTCATACTCCTGACCACAGGCAATCCGCCAGCCTTGGCCTCCCAAAGTGTTGGGATTACAGGTGTGAGCCACTGCTCCCGGCCCCTTCATTTTGTAAGCAAAATAACGCACACTTACCAAAACTTACAGGAACTGTATGTTTAGAAATGGCAAGAATTCATATTCTACTCTCAAAACCAATTTTCACAGAGATTGGCTTCAAGGGAGTTATTTTCATCCTTACCATGGTCATTGGCTAAAGCCAATAAGATTGATCACGCTTCAACTCAGAGTCACACGCTGGATTAGGTAGTTCTGGGATTATAGACACGTCTTCAAAAATCCATAGTCAAGTAGTCAAGAGAAGTAGACAGGCAAAGTATATTATGAAAAGTGTCATCAGAGTGATGAATAAAATATCGTGGAAATAGAGAAGATCGGGGGAATAGTTTCTCCGGGGGAATTGAAGGAAGGTTTACTTCTCTGGAGATGTCCTTTCTTGAACTTCCTAAAAACTTAAAGGAACTGGGTGTATTTTGTCCACATCAGTACACCTAGTTCTGGCATCATTCCTTGCTCAGGGTAAAGCACTCAGTAAGTATTTTGGCCTTAAAAACAGCTAGTACACAGTAGCTACCACTGGCCAGGCACTATGCTAAGTGCTTTCCTTGCATTACATTATTTAATCCTCACAGGAGCCTTACGAGCTTCCTCAGGAGACAACCAGGAGTTAAGGAAGTTAAGATAGTCATCGCAGTTTCTAATTAGAGGCAGACCTAATCCTGAACTCACCTCTCTTGGATTCCAACCAATGTTCTCAACCACTGGACCGAACTCAGTAAATTACAGAAGCTGTGTTGCTGTTTTGATGATCACTGTTGATTACTGGCCACCCATTGGTGCCCTGACTCATTTTCATAGCACATAGGAGACTATCACAGCTGGGGTAATTAGAACAGGACCTGAGAGCCCCTTTGGCCAGATGCTTTCTGGAAATAACAATGTGCCAGTTTGCTCAAATTGGAGAGCAAACTGGTACATTGAACTGTATGAGAATTTCCCACTGAACAGCTGTTGGCCAATTGAGAGCTAATTAGTCCTAGAACATAAGTAACAGCTGATCACGGAGGGCACTTCCGCCCACCAGCCGCAGGTCCAGATGCTGGCCAAGCATTTGAAATGGCAGCTCAGAGGATAAGGCTGAATTCCAGTATCTGAAAATGATCTGGGAATTGTCTGGTGAGAACCACTGGAGTGCTTGTTAAATATGCAGATTCCCTGGCTAAATGTCAAGCCTGCAAATAAACAATCTTCCTCCTGACTCTTGAGCTAACATCTGAGAATCCCTGCATTGTTTGGCTTTGGAGGATTTTGAGGAAATGAGACTTTTGTCTTTATGTTTACATTTTTCAACTCCTGCTTTTCCGAAGACATTTCCATTAGGTTGGGAATGTGATACAATAGCTGTCATACAAAGTTAGCAGGGCACACCTGAAGCATAAATAAAGTTAGGTGAGGATGTTCCCTCTGGGCCTGGAACATCAAATAGGGCTTTGAAAAAATCGGACCCCATTCTTTAAGAGGAAGTAGCCAGCCGAAAGAGCACAGAAAGCCTTGCTTCTTGAAGTGGCACAACTTGCTTTCCTTGTAGTCCTCAAAGCTTAACAGAAGCTGCCAGCCTGAGGTTTCTGAGCTGGATCTGTCTGCCAAGGCGTGTATGGCCTGCATAGTATTGAAACAGTTTTGAATCATATATCACATTTTAAAATCAGGACCTCTGGCCTTTCCTGTTAAATCCCCAAATGAGGCAATGCTCTGTCTCCTTTTCTGAACCAGCAGTTGGTGACATTTTAGCAGATGCTGTGCTCAGCTGAAAGGGGACCCCTGCCCTGTTTCATCCAGTTCAGCACTGTTCCTCCTCACCCTCCACTGCTGGTCAACTGGCCGCTTCACTCATTTCCATTACCTGCATGGCCACCTAGAAGTTTGGACCGACGCATGACCTGGAGCATAGCTAGGAGGACAGCAGGGGGAATATGGAAAGCAGGGCAGATGGCTCCTGGGCGCTTGGTCTTGAAATAAAAATCTTCCTGTCCTCCCTGTTTAAATGTCCCTCTGCTGACTCGCCAGTTGACTCTAATGTGTTTAGAGGAAACAGCCTTATCTTTTGAGTAACTGGAGCTGTTGAAGTAATCTCTGCAAGTCTTCAATAGTCTGAGCAGAGGAATGGTTATTTGAAATGTAGAAACACTGAATCACCAGATCAAGGGGACATGGAAGGTGAAACCCACCAAGACGAAGCATTAGGGAGGTCTGAAGTAGTAAAGGAGAATTAACTCAGTTTTGAAGAAATTAAGTTAAAGGGCATGTAGTTCCTCCAAGTAGAGATGTCCACCTCACATATGGTACTCTAGGATTAGAAAGGTTTAAACCCTTGCCCAAGTGCATGCACCTAAGTGGCCTGAATTAAAAGCCATTATCTTCATATACAAATGTTAGTTGCTTTTCAAACTGCTTTTAATTAGTTCATAGGATTTTTACAATTCTTGGAAATGGAAATCGATGGGACTTGCCTTCCATTTTATTTTAGATGTAGACCTGGATACAGAATGAAGCTTCTGGAGTTTTAGGCTCTATAGTCAAATTAAGATTACAGTTTGGGGCCAGGGCTCTGGCCCATTGCTCTTTCTACTGCACCACTCTGGAAACTCCAGGTTTCAGGACAGTCACGGGAGTGGATTCTACTGTCAGTCTACAGCTAGGCCTTTGAATTCCAAGTTCAACCCTCATGGTTCTGCTCTGGCTAACCACTACCATTTCACTTTACTATGCTGAGCCATCTTTTAAATTGCAGCAAACGCTTTTTATCATCTGAGAATCTTTTTTTTGTGAACTTCTCCCAGGTAACTGTGGCAGACTGTATTCTAGGCTCTCATCATTTTCACATTAATCGTAATTCCTTACTATAGGCATCTATGGCAGTGAGCCCCAAATTAAAGCTGCTTTGGGTTTTAGGATAATTGGTGCTTAATAAAACCTGATTTTTTTCCTACTAAAAACAGTAACAAATTTACACTCAAATCAGGGTTTAAACCATAAAATCTCAAGGCTTTAAAGTTCAGTGGGGGGCTGGAAGGGGTGGGCAGCAGGACTAGTCCTAGGCTAGAATGTAAAAGTGGGTACATGTCAGTTTACTGAATGTCCTGGTTTTCAGTTAGGCATCTCAGATCAACTGAGGACATTTCCAGCACCTGCCTACCCACCTAGCTTGTTTGGAGCACTAAGGATGTACATCCATAAGCATGTCATAGTTTGTATGTACTTAGCAGTTACAGAGACATTTTCATGCCCCAAAGCTTCCTCTGTACCAGCCATTTGTTGGTTTCATTTTTAATCTTAATACCTCACACATAACAATTATACATTTATGAAAATTGCAGATTACATAGTTCTGTTAACAAAGAAGGTGGAGACAAGCTATTCTAGTCGTCCATTTTTCAGTCTAAAACCTCTTGAAAAATTCATATGGTTTATATGGGTAACTATTCTAGATAAGGCAAACAAATGAGGTGTTTGGCTATATTAACTTTTTCAGCCAACTTTTCCCTTGGGGACCTCCACCAATGAAATAACAAATACTCAAAAAAGTACAGCTTATAACACAACTTTTATTAGAAAAGTTATACATAACATAGCATCAACTATTTTCAAGAACAATATTAAACCTGATAAGCAACAAAAACCAGACTAACAAAATGTGTAACAAGAACTAACGACCTTTCTAAAATCAAACATTCAATTATCTACAATGTCTTTTTACAAATGGGGAAAACTCCTTGGTTTACAGGCACATTATATTGAAATAAAGCTGCAATAGCAATTTTATACAATTACCACTCTCAAGAAACTGAATCGTTAAAACAGTAATTACGAGTTCACAAATTTTTAAAACATTTCACATAATTTAAAATTATTGGGTATACACTGAAGTCTGATTTTCAAAAGTGATTTTTTTTCCCCACAAACGTTTCAACACTTAGGCTAGAACTTTCAGTGTTAATTTTGCCCTAAAAAGTTAAGACATATTCTGATAATAGTCACATGATTTCTGATGCTATCTGGTCTGTTAATAATAAAACCTTTATTTGGATTTTTTTTCAATTAAATTATAGGAAACTAGACATAGGATTTCGTTGCGAAGCTATTAAATTTCCAAACACAGGAGTGTGCAGCACTGGAAAAGGAGGTAAGTACTAAAACTTTTAATAAATATCAGAGAAGCCATTAGTTTTTACAGCATTGTCTGCTTAAAGGTTAAGTTGACCAGGTGTATAATTTCCCATCAGTCTGTCCTTGTAGTAGGCAGGGCAATTTCTATTTTCATGATCTGAATACTCAAATATATCCAAAACATCTTTTTAAAATTCTGATTTATAGCTCCTAGAAAGCTATGTTTTTTTAATAGTCACTCTACTCTAATTAGGCCTATTTTTGCTCATTCTGGAGCCTCACTAAAGTAACAGATTTCAGGATAGCCAAGTTCATCAGAAAGACTCAAATGGAATGATTTACAAAATAGAACACTTTAAACCAAGTCATTCCTATCTTTTTGTAGCTGAAGGTTATCAGTCACAACACAATTTCACGTAACAACTCTGCTCATTATGGAATTACACTTAAAAATGAATCTCAAGAGGGTGACCTTTGTTTCCCATACCATCTCTAAGGAGAGTGGCTAACAGGAAGACTGCCAGTGTTACCGACGGAAAGGCTTTTTTCTTCCTTGTCAAAGACTCATACCATAGTTTTAAATTAAACTGTCAGGAATTTTTTCCCAGACAGGGTTTCCTTTTCAATGCAGTAATGAAGTAGTAAGATAAAAATCATGACTTTTTGACTGCCATTCAACATTATTACATGCACCAATATTGCACACATCTGTTTTGAACTGTTAAAATCATCTTCTGAGTCCTTGGGGTGCTGTTTTCTCCATCAGAACACAAACACAACCCATCTAATCAGTTTCCCTCAAAGATGAAATTGACAAACTTAATATACTGGAAAAAAATGAAGAAAGAAAAAGGCAAAGACTTTGTACAGACAAAAATCTAAGTTTTCTCAAAGGGTTCTGTGTCCCCTACACATGGGGGCAATTTGTAAGCACTAGTGAAACAAACACTAGCTGTAATGCTTCTAGCTTCTCATATAATATGGAACCTTGGTCCAGGTGTTGCGATGATATCACTATATGGTTCTTCCTGTGTCAGCTCAATAGCTTGCTGCTTTTTAAGAACCAAGAAGCTGTAGAACTTTGCAGCAGCTTGTTTTCTGTTCGTACTTCGACATAACTCAAGCAAACTGATAGATTCAGCTCCGGTTTTAGCAAGAGCACGCTGAAATAAAACAACAATAACAAAAAAAATGACTTAAAGTAACCTGTATAATAAAGTGCTAATTTAGTGAGGATGCTGATATAGTCAAATATTTGTCCTCACCAAATCTCATGCTGAAACGTGATTCCCCAGTGTTAGAGACGGAACTTGGTGAGAGGTGTTTGTGTCACGGGGTGGGGGTGGATCCCTTATGAAGGCTCCCCGCAGTAATGAGTGCATTTTTGCTCATTAGTTAACACGAGAGCTGGTTGTTTAAAGAGCCTAGCATCTCTCTTGCCATGTGACACACCTGCTCCCCCTTTGCCTCCCACCATCACCGTAAGCTTTCTGAGGCCTCACCAGAATCAGATGCTGGTGCTTTATTTCTTGTATAGTCTGCAGAACTGTAAGCCAAAAAACTTCTTTTCTTTATAAATTACCCAGACTCAGGTATTCCTTTAGAGCAACACAAAACAGACTAACACAAATGCCAATTTTGGTTACTGGAAAAAACAGACTGTAAGGACAAAGACTGCACTTTTAAAAACAGTATGTGATTCTCATGTTAATCAATAGGGTAAAGGGCCAAGGTATATTATGGTACATCTAAAATCCAAAGAAGAAAGTCTAAGTGTTCTGACATGTATTATTAAAATTACCAATTTCTTTGGACAGCTAATGTAATATACTAAAATCTAGCACTTACGGTTTTGAAAGTAAAAAAAAAAATTTTTTTAATGTCAACTATCCTATTTTAGGAAACCTTGAGAAACTTGCTTGGCATTTCATAGATATCCAAGATTGTCTGTGTCTATGACATTAAGGCCCAGGGAAAAGTGACTGACATCTGATGTTACACAATGATCCAATAAATTTAATGATTCAGCACATTAAATTTACTCAACAAAAAACAAGAAGGTGCAGGGATACACAGGTGTTCTGTAGTATGTCACCATGGTTCTGCTTTTCAGGATAACCACAAGCATTCTCCTGCATGCTTTTCAGGCTTACCCTTGGCCTAACAGCTTATGTATTTAATTTAAACATTTAAAAATAATGCAGTTTTAGAGAAAGTTTCACAAAGGTATGCTCTTTTATTTCCAGCATTGTAACTTTTTTTTCAGGGAACAATGCCAAGTCTTTGACGGAGCATTTTTCTCCAAGACAACAGAAGAAATACCTGAAGACCATGAAGCATCTGCTGAGTCCTTTTGTTCCATCTTCTTTCTTCCTGATCTTGATCACCCCCTGAAGCATCTTCATCCTGAATGAAAATGACCCGCAAAAAGCTGATAAAACAAGTCCAATGCAAAATGAAGTATTTCTACATTTCCTGAAGTTCTAAATTACCTTGAGACTGTATATTTTGGACTAATAAAAAACTGACTTAATGCTGCTGAGAAATCACTTAGCATCTACAGTATAAACTCTGAAGTGTTTGTCTTCCTTAAATTACAAAGGAAAGTCCTCTGTATATGTGCAAGCAAACATTTGGCTGAAAGTATACTTCTATATTGCTCTGTAAGGATGCTATCTACACACACTGTGCGGGGTCTGTGGACTGCTGCTGATCACAGAGCTTTTGGTTACTGGCCCCTGTTAAAGAACTTACGGATATAATCAACTGTACTACTAAGTATATTGTTTATTTCAACTCAAAATATGTACATAAATATTGCAACATGATTTTCTAGATGACTTATGTTCTGGCAGATTCCTAATCTCTCATTGTGGAGCAGTACCAAAGAGCCTGCAGACTAGCTAAGGATTTATTATTGATCTTTATGGTGTTTTAAAATGAATGGGCTATAATCCTTACATCTTACTTGAGCAACCTAGGTCTCAGCCACATGCCGCCTAAATGCCTTTTTAAAGTCCAAGGTGGGTGCAAGGCAACAGCTGTAATGTTCCTAGGCTACGTATGCTGAAACTATATACCAGACATAACAGAAACCACAACAATTTTGATATTCATTCACAACTAAGTCTGAGATAATAGCACACCCTAATTCATAGGTTAGAGTAGCTCTAAAGCTAATTTTGGCTTTAAATAAGGTATTCATATTAAAGATAAGTGCTAAGTATTATTAGAATTAAGAACAGATGCTAATGAAAATTTATCCAATCCATAACCTTTATTAGTCTTGCAAGAAATTTAAACAGCTTCAGTGCTACCTAAAGGACATCTTATTTTAAATTTAAAGGTTTAAGAAACATATCTGACAGAACATCAAACAAGAATAAATTCTAAGTCTTAAACAATAACCTTGATGATCCAGAAATAAGGAAGAAGAAACAAGAAGAAGAACAAGAAAGACCTTGACCCCTTTAAACATGCCCCAGGAAAAAGAAATTATTTCCTAAAGCACCTCTTACTTTGTAAAAAGTAAGTCATTCAAGTCTTCACTCAATCTAAGTGTTTTAGCAAAGTCACGCTTTACCCTGGTTTAAGTAAAAAAAAAAAAACAGAAACGAATCCCAGACAAGTGGAAAATATATGGTTATCTGATTTCCAGGCCACCACAGATACAGAAGAGGTTATATTAGAAGCAGATGATAACAGCAGTAAGAATCGACCACTGACCACAAGATAGTAAAAGCAGCTACAAGCAATTTAGAAGTCAGACAAAGACTCAGTGTAAGGGCATTCCAGTCTTTCAAAAGCCCACAAGGGAGCCAACAAGTTATGGCAAAGTATAAAATTTCATGTTCCTAATGATCTTTGCCACTAGGCATTTGGTAAAATTTTGCTTATATTCAAACTTTTTTTTAGTAACTCTGATGTTCAACACAATTAAGTTAGCTCCAATATGAAAAATAAAAGAAAGTTGGATGTTTTTGCTAAATCTGGAATGGAAATTATTAACTAGTTTACCTCTTCCTCTTCATCATCTTCTTTTTCCTTCTCTTTCTCCTTCTCTTTTTCTGGCAGAAGTTCTAACTCTGGTATTAGCTGACAGATATTTGGAGGTTCTTCTGGAGGAAGCTCCACAGGTGGTATTTCCATCTGCTCTACCTGCTGAGGCTTAAAGCAATACAAGTAAGACAATTTAAGATGTATGTTTTAAAGGTAGCTTATTTTAACTATGCAAATACACAGTGGCTGAAGTTTTCTAGCCGAAAAGAAATACTGAGGTTTTATTTTCATACTTCCCCACAAGCAAAAATTTATTACAGTATATATCTTCTTTTTGATTTTTTTTATAAAACTACATTAAAGTAGCTTACAAAAAAAAATTTCATTTCATTTTTATACTTACTTTTTAGGAGTCAAAAACACTTTTTACCACTAAAGCTTCTGTAAGATTATACAGTAACTTAAAAATCGTTAAGCTTTCACTCAAGAGTCTTGAATGTCTCATGGCAGCAAACGGTAGAAGTGAAAAAATTGTTTTTCTGGGTCCACTTCCTATATTTATTTTCTCTCAGGCTTAACATAAAGAATTCAGAATATTAAAACCAAAGTCTTTTTAAGAAACCAAAGAATTACCAGAAAGACAGTGGTTATGAGAGTCACTACTCATTACTGTGTTCCCCATTCCTGAGCTTATACGGAAAAATGTTCTTACTGACAACTTCTTACCACCAGAGGGCACAAAAACTAGTTCTTAAAATTGGCAGAGTATTCTTGATGGAGGCTGAACAAGAAGACTAAGGTGGTCAAAAAGCCTCCCTTTCATTTTATCAAATTCATTTGATAAAAACTCAAATTCATTTATCCTGTAGACTTAAGATTGGAAAGCCCTAAACCAAACCCTACTACTTCGTTTTTACTTGCTTAGCTTTCCTATCCTAGCTGAATTTAATAGCAGTCAAAGTGTGAATGAAGTAGACAGATACTGCTTTATATTTTCTCAGGTATTTGACAAGTCTATTCTGATTACTTAGTAAGATGACCTAAAACTGTCTAGTACTGAAGGTATGCAGGAATGTCTGCCAAAGAATAAATCAGAACCAACTTGAGTCACGGATGCTCATTTTGGACCACTCTAAAGCAACGCAATTCAAAAAGAGTCAGAAAGACTGCACACTCCCAGAACATCTTCTCCTACTTGAAGCAGATTGTCTATATATCCAGTTGCTCTTCTTCCTCTGGACTCATTCCTTACCATTTTCTGCTAAAACCAAGATACTTTAAAAGGGCTCCCTAAATACCACTTGCTACTGACTGTATGAAAACCTTCAAATGACTTAATGTATAGATTTGCTTACTTACAGGCATCACTGGCTCTGGGTCAATTTGTCCAGCTTTTCGCTTAACTCCCTGAGGTGGCGGTGGAGGCATAGCTGACTCATCTAGGTTTGTTCTGCTGGCCTCCATCACTGACTCCTGGAGGCGGCTTGGCTCTTCCATAATGGGCTCATCTGCAATTGGTCATATGAAGAGAAAATGTAGATCATACAGTTCGAACAGTATTACAGAACCATTTATTTTTTAAAGCAGTACACTAAGACATATGTAGTGCTTTCTCTAATGAAGGAGATCCATAAAGATCACTCTAGTTTTAGCAATATACGTAAAAGGGGGAGGGGGTCTTAAAAGGACAAGTTCTACCCACAGTACAATGTAGGACAATTCTTTAGCAGACTATCTACCCTGCCAGTTCTGAACCTTAAACCTCTGGGAAGACAGGAAACTTCATACTTAAATAAGGCAATCAGATCCAATGCATTTCCCTGCCCAAACATTTCAGTATATCTTTCATTCCTTATTTCTTTTACTCTGACAGTATAAAGGTAAATTTTAAGCAAATACTCATGTGAACTTCATCAGGGAACTATTCCAATAGAACAAACCAATAACTTCACGCTGCTGATGCTGCTGTTGCTGGTCCTCTCTAGGAACCTCTGGATTTTCAAATTCTTTGAGGAATTCATCCAAATTGTCTGCCTCTCCTCCTTTCCTCCTTTTTCTAAGGTCTTCTGGTACAAGCGGTGTAAGACAGCGTGTAAAGAGCTACACGAAAAAAAAAAATTCAATTATAAAATCTAACCAAAAAGTCACCACTTATTTCTATCTTCCAAAAGTATGTTCTAATAAATACAGTAAGTATATAATTTATCATGGCTTTTACTTATCATATTCACGTCATTCCATCTGAAAATGAATTTAAATGAGTTTAGTTTTCAAATTGTAACTGCAGACATTTTAGATAAACAAAATTTATCCATTATTTCACAACCTTAAGGGGTTTTCTATTTATCTGCCTGAAGTTTATTTTCATATTCATAAACTAAAACTCATTCTAACTGGTCTCATAGCAAACAGCTTTAAAATTTGTTTTTTCACTTACTATATATTAACCTCATTAGCTATCATTTAAACTATTTTTTTTTTCTTTTTTGAGACAGAGTCTTACTTTGTCGCCCAGGCTGGAGTGCAGTGGCAGAATCTCAGCTCACTGCAACCTCTGCCTCCCAGGTTCAAGTAATTGTGTCTCAGCTGTCTGAGTAGCTGGGATTACAAGTGTGCACCACCACACCTGGCTAATTTTTGTATTTTTAGTAGAGACAGGGTTTCACCATGTTGGCCAGGCTGGTCTCAAACTCCTGACCTCAGGTGATCCATTAGCCTCAGCCTCCCAAAGTGCTGGGATTACAGGCATGAGCCTCCACTTGTGGCCTCATTTAACCTATTTTTAATGGCTACATAATATTCCATTTTGAGCCATTCCTCTACTTTTTAAATCATTTCTCTCTTTTTAAACTAAGCAACAATGTAATCAACGTTTTCACAGAGATAGCTTTTCCATACCTTGAATTTCTTCCTTAGGAAAAATTTCTACTAATTACTGAGTCAAAGCATAAATAGTTTTAAGGACCTTCTTAAAAATAATTATATGACAGTGCTCCTAATAAAAAGCACAATTTTGTTCCTCTGAAATACTTTAGATTTGGAATGTATTACTATATCCTAAATACACAGTAAAATCAATGAGTTCTGTGCGTATCTCAGCCTGAGACACAATACTAGCCTAACAGCACTGCTTAATTCACCAGACACCCGTGAATCTTATTTTGGAATACTGTGGAATGTGAGCAGAAAAGGGCCTACAAATGGGAAAAGATCTCTTGAAGCCAGAATTTTTTACCGTTGAAAAAGCAGAACCACTCATGTTTTATTCAGAAAATAGTTAAAGAATTCAGATGTAAAGCACACTAAGGCAATATACCTAATAGTTTATTACAGAGAAAAGTAATATTAAAAATGTCAGTGGCTTTTTAATGTAAGAAAAATTCATTTTACATCTTTTAGAAATGCAGGTGTCACTTATCCATATATTTCAGATGAAATTATGGCTAGTACACTGTGATTTAAGGGAGAAAAAAGGAAACTTGCCCTACAGTTGCAAAACACTTCATTAAAAATGATGCAAACAAAGGTTTTAGAAGTTTTTTTTTTAGATTCTCAAAATGTATATTAAGTAAAAATTCTGCAAACTATATTACCTTCAGTAGTCTGTTATTCCACAAAGGCTGAGCAGGTAAAGAAAACAGTTTTTCTACTCCTCCTGTCTCTTTCCACATCATTAATTTCTTGGTGGGTGGTGCCAGATCCAAAGTAGTGACAATATCAGAATAATCACTAAGTTGGGCTCTAATTGTCTTGCTATCCAACTCTTTGACACTGTCAACAATGAGTTTCCTCTTTCTCTTGGCTTTTGTTTCTTTAACTGGAATAATAGAAAATAAGATCA